TCCGGTGGTGCTGGTCTATCGGGCAGTCCCGGTTGCCCCGGCACGTGTAGGTGAGGTTCCTCCGGACGGACCTCTTGAAGAAGCTCTTGCACCCCTCGCAGGTGTACTGCCCGTAGTGCTTGCCGCTGGACTTGTCCCCGCACACCATGCAGTCCACGTTGGGCACCCCCTTGTCGCCGGAGTGCGCCGTGTCCTGGCCCTTCGGGGTGCTGGGCGTCTGAGGCGGGCCCCCGGGGTCCTGGTTGCACATCCCCGGGGGGTTGGTCACCTGGGAGCCTGGCACTCCGGTGAGGTCTTCCTGCCAGGGATTGACCACCATGGCCATAATACACAAGTCACAAGTCGTCGCAGGTTCACCGGAGACCGCGCGGGGTCGCAGATTCACCTTTCGATTCGGGTGAAAAAAATCCTCTTTAGATCCAAAGGAGCGGCCCGGAGAACCCACCGAGAGCAGACGGGGACCCGGCGGGTGAATCAGGCGGCCAATGTGCTCAGATCCATCGGCTGCATCCAATCAGATCGTCCCCCGATATCAGCAAGATCCAAGACAATCCAATTTCTACCTATAGAGAGAAAAAATAATTATAACCACATTCGCAGCGAGTGAATCCCGTGTTCTCATCACAAACTACAAACCCGGCCAATGTCCCTGAGCTTGTCATCACAGCCAACCAGGAAGATCGCGAATTTATAACAATCCCCCGAACTTACACAGCGATTCGCATCGATCGGATCCGTAGAACGTCTCGGATCGAACACAGACCTGGAAACTGATGATAAAGAATCGATATGAAGACACTCACCGTCCGATATCCGGCACCATGCGATGACGGTCAGGTAGCCGATTTAAAGGGGTGACATGCAGGTCGGTGGACGGAGGTCCGGCGCCGGTGAATGATCGGGGGAAGTTTGGAAAGTGACAGAGAATTCTCCCGCGGCGAACACACAGCCCCGTCCCGGGATCGGCTCCGACTGCGAATGTTCCCCGGCCGGAGTGGAGGAGTCGGAGCGCTGACAGTAATTCTCATCTACAATGTATCAGCGGAGATCTCCTAATAAG